GAGATTTTAGGCCGTTAACTAACGGCTTAATTTCGTTCAGTCTGTTATGTTTATTGTACGATTTTAGGCCGTTAACTAACGGCTTAATTTCGTTCAGTCTGTTATGTTTATTGTACGATTTTAGGCCGTTAACTAACGGCTTAATTTCGTTCAGTCTGTTATGTTTATTGTACGATTTTAGGCCGTTAACTAACGGCTTAATTTCGTTCAGTCTGTTATGTTTATTGTACGATTTTAGGCCGTTAACTAACGGCTTAATTTCGTTCAGTCTGTTATGTTTATTGTACGATTTTAGGCCGTTAACTAACGGCTTAATTTCGTTCAGTCTGTTATGTTTATTGTACGATTTTAGGCCGTTAACTAACGGCTTAATTTCGTTCAGTCTGTTATGTTTATTGTACGATTTTAGGCCGTTAACTAACGGCTTAATTTCGTTCAGTCTGTTATGTTTATTGTACGATTTTAGGCCGTTAACTAACGGCTTAATTTCGTTCAGTCTGTTATGTTTATTGTACGATTTTAGGCCGTTAACTAACGGCTTAATTTCGTTCAGTCTGTTATGTTTATTGTACGATTTTAGGCCGTTAACTAACGGCTTAATTTCGTTCAGTCTGTTATGTTTATTGTACGATTTTAGGCCGTTAACTAACGGCTTAAAATCGTACAATAAGAATATAGTTATTTAATATTTTTTATTATATATATTAAAAAAAATATATTATTTATTTTTTTATTTACGAAATTATCATACCGACCGGGATAGTGGCTTAAAATCTCACAATAAACAGACCGTGATAGTAACATATTATGTCATTATATATATTCCCCTTTGTATCAACAACAGAGATTATAATGTCAAAATACTAGTTACAGAGTAAATGTTGTCATACCTCAATCCAGCTTGTTAAATTTATCTCTAACTTTCAAAGGAAACTATTGAGACCGCTCTTAAACAACTATCTTGAATGTAAACTTTCGAGATGGCATCGCCACTTTGAAGTCAAACTATATAGCATAGGAAATTGTCGAGAGAATATATACCTTTGGCGGTAATATATCAATTTTCTTGGTCATTCATTCTGCTTCCGAATTCAACTCTTGCCAATAAAAAATTTACAAAGAAGTAGAGCATTTTGAGAATGACGAGCTTATCCAAGGGGCACTGATGCTCACCGAGAATTGTCTGCCCTCGCATCAGTTTCCAATTTCAAAGTTTGGGAACATGCTTCACAATACCTGTCATACATCTCTACGACATCAATCCCTAAAATAGCCATCCAATAAGGACCGATCAGAAAAAAACCTGTCGTGGTCGGCACGTCGCGTGAGGCCTCATTCAAGTGTGACAAGGCCATGTTGATGAAACGTACGTAAACTTGGCCAAGTTTTGGTTTCCTCACGATAGACATCTTGCCTCACGTCTACTTTGCTGCTGCGGTTATCTTTATCACAACTTTGAACTTAATCGAAAGAAGGAAATTTACCATTTGAGAGGGAGTATGGAGCTTCAGTGTTTTTGAGTTCGGCGAACCCAGACAAGGAATATTGAGATATGCGGCTTGATTGATGTGAAACTGACGAAGACTTCTTGTGAGAAAATGTCGTGTTTCTTAAAGTTTATTGCTTCGTGAACAAGTAAAAACGGAAAAGATCTCAGAGTGAGCTATGGTTCTCTGGCTTGTTCACTGCTCAAGAGAACAGACGCAAGCACGCTTCGATCGGACGATGGCTAAATCTGAACACGTCGAACACGAAAAATCAAGCCCTTGTTTGTTAGTACTTGTCTGGCACGAGCTCGAAAAAAAAAATAGACATGGGTACTTCTTCACTTCTCACGAGCAATGAATCGAATGGTTCAGAAGGTAAGCTGATTTGGTATTTTATTTCAGGTCCGATGAAGTGAGGTGCTGCGTGTCACGATAAGAGTAGGTGGTTTTGTGCGAGGCCTCTAAAAGTTTAATGTGCCTTATTTATTTTCGAATGGCAAAAGTTATTCACCTCGCACTAAAAATTATCTTTGCTCCTAATCAGAAGCCATACGCAGACAAACATTGATATTTTACCCGCTCGACCTGTAGTAGGCACTGTTAACGCCATCGAAATGAGACATCTATAACAGTTAGGTTAGGTCAATAGTTGGGATAAATCCTTCTGTGATATTGTGATGTGTTTACGCTTGAGTCGTTTCAACCTGAAAGCAGCGAAACGTATCTCAGTAAATGAAAATTAAGAATAGTGCTGCTTTATTTTTATGATAATCGTAGACTAGGCGGAGAGCAGATAACTTTTCCTTATACTGAATGTTAGCTTCGTTGGCTTTTTAAGCTCAACTCCGTTTAATTAAAAGTTAATTTGTCAATCTAATTACATTCACTGACTGACTTTTCGCGCAGCTTACCAGTGTTGTATATAGATTTTCTTTCCCATGACACTTCTAGAAAAATGTTATCGATAAAAAAGTGTGCATATGAACAATTAGCTAGTTAATAATAATCGTAGCCTGTCCAGTCGCGCTCAAGTGCCTGTAAAAACCTCATCTGTCAAAGCGATCAAATCAAAATAAAAATTGTGCAAATCGGTGGTAGTTTCTAGATTCCATAACAGGAAAATACTCCTTATCTTTAACCGTAACCGGTCTCCAATTTAAATCATTCTAGAAATGATTTTCTTACTATGTGCGGATTTTAGTCACATTTATTGGCACATAAACATTTTGGGGAAGACTTTTTGTCTCCTATTTTGGTTGCGATCTTCAAACCTTGAGATATCAATCAATCGAGCTTTTTGAAACTGCGGCTATTAATTTGATATGGCTAACAGCGACACCCAAATGTAAGGACCGTTGTAATTTTGCAACATGATTCATTCTTTTCTGTGGAAATTTTTTCGGACATAATTACATTTTGTACCTAGTGTTGCCAGCACCTCAGAAGTTTCACTACTATCGTGCATAGTTGTCAGTTTCATTTTGCCGTGGAAAACCTTGTTATTTGATAAATAAACTGCTGTGTAAGGTCTCTGTCTGCCGTTCCAAAAATTAATGCGCACAATTTTGATGCATAATGCATATTGCAAACAGGTCTTCAAGGAACATTCCATTGTTCTCGTTGAAAACACACTCAATTAGCTCTACGAATGGCTGGGAGTTGCACGGGAATATGCGAATTCATTTCTTGACAAAGCACTTGCGTGACAATAACAACATGCGATCGCGAATGCAAAGAAGAAACTGTTTTAAATCGAAAGAAATACGTGAAGTTTTTTCAACGGGATCATGCAAATTATATATGAAAAAGCCCAGGAAGGCCTGAAGATTTTCAAACTTCCTAAGGAAATCTTGAACATTGTGTTACTTTTTAATCAGAGACGAATTTATAGCGTGACCTAGAATTTCNGTTTGTGGTGCCTATTCTGTACTGTAGGGCATTATATACGATATCCGTAAGCCGGGCTCCCTGTGGATAAACTCGATTGTTAACACTTATTTTCTCATGTTATCCGTAGTTTTTTAGGTGCTTTCATGTTGTTTTAAATTGTCTCGAGATATTTTCAGGTAATTTCAGATGGTTTCCTTGGGGGTTTCAGATGGTTTCAGGTGGTTTCATCGATGGTTTCAGATGGTTTCAGGTGGTTTTAGTAACTACGTCCGTTGATGACCTTTAGACCCAGAAATCACGCACAATACGCTTTGGTTGCCATGGTTCGATGCCACAAAAACAAACAGCTACAAATTCAAACTAAAAAACCGTTACTTTAATCAGGAGCTCTTTTTAAAGAGAATGACAGGAAAACGGCTGAAAGAGCAAAGCTTTAGATGGCTTACAATGGTCCATGATAACCGTAAGTTTGGATATCGTTGTGTAACTGAATTCGGTGTTAACAATCATTTGTACACATCTCTCAAATTATATGATAATCTTGATCTAGGTATCTAGGATGAGCTACTTGTTATGAAGAAATACACTCATCAGGAACCTTTTTCTGCTTGACGGTAAAATTTAGATAAAAACTTTATTGTGGCTCATTTGCTCTAAACACGAAATACGCTGTTATTAACAAAACCACTACATCTATCTCCACACAATGTAATTATATTTGTTAATTCTAAATCTTCACGGCGCGATTTTTTACAGTTTAGACAGCCCCACAGTTTTTCCTTAAGGAAACAGGAAATTTAGCCGTTAGGAATCGTTACACTGTTACAGTGTAAAGCATAGTTTATTGAATAATACTACAACACCACTTACGCAACTAATAGCTTATAATTAAGCGAACCTCAAACTATATCAGTATAACCTACTAAAAACCGTTAAACAATAGTACATAAAAACAGTGTTTCCTTACTCGGAACTGGTTAGCTCAAATGACCATCACAAACCAGTTTGAAACATAATAACCAAAGGCTTTTAAATTAATGTTTTGAATTAGTGTCAATCACGATTCTTGTCATCAAATGAGTCTAGTAATAAGGACAAGGACACTACTTCTACGACGAATAATTGTCGATAACCACAGCAGCGGCTGCTCTTGAATCGTTTTGTGTCTGCAGCCATGTTTCTGAGCTTTTTTCAAAATGACGGCGTCCCTAGTCGAATTTTCAGGACATTGAAAGATAGTTTTCGAACGATTAAATTACTCTTCATTGTCGGTTTCCACTTTGATATGGACGTCTCATTTTGACAACAAAGGTTGCACATGTAACTTGAGGATATTTGGAACTTAAAAAAAAAATCAGCATCATCTCACATAGTGGCCTGATAGATTCAGTCAGATTTTGTTTACGTAACGAAACAGAATTTTGTTCTGAAGTTTGTAGGTTAATTGTCTTTTCCAAGGCAAGTGAGGTAAAATTAATGCTAGGGATGCATTTCATATGAATATTTTTGGCATTTTGTGTACCAGAACATGAGGATAAAACTTTGCAGAAGGGCTGGGAACATTTGGGAAATGATGTAATCTACACTAGAAGCCACGGGGAGCTTGATTTGGTTCGAATGTATGACTAATTTTGGACAATACATAGATGTAAAGTGACACAATCCTGAACATAGGTTTCTCTTTACATTTACTATAACTATTGTATTTGGGATTGCCTGCGTTTTCAATACAGAACACAGAAAAATTCAGTTGATGTAGGTGCATGGATATGGGATTGCAAATGGAAGAATTCAGGGAAAAAAGATAAGTGCATAACAGGATCAGAACACAAGCAATAGTTTAGTGAGTCATTTGTTTAGTAGTACTCTGAAGTAACATTACATTAACATTGCTAATAACTTTTAACCCAAAAAGATTTACAGTTTGACCTGGAGGTTTTATCTCACAAAAGTTCAATAGAGATAGCGTCAACATCATAGATTTCAGGAACAGTAATCAGAGATATAACTTAAACATAACAGAGTTCAATTGCAATGTACAGGCAAATGCATGATAGTATCATATGATTTAAAGTACCAAAATTTTTCAAGTTTCTTATTATTGAAATTGTAATTTCATGCCAGTGTGTTTCCCAATTTTCAGCTATGTGGAGACATGAAATGAATAGGTGTACTTGACATCATCATGTAAAATAAAATGGTCAACTTAACATGCTATCAAAGTTTGTCCTTCAGCTGAAATCTTGCTCAGGAATGCAATTTTGTTAGTGGTTACCAATAGACATAAAACATCCAAGCTTTTTTTTATTTTGGTCAACTACCATGTGTATCAATCAGCAAAACCTACTTTGTGTAAACCTGATTGGTTTCTAGTGTAATATATTGTTGCAGAGCCTAGTTTACATTTATACTTGAGTTTTGCACTAGTGATACATCAAAAAGGCACCTAGCTGTTTTCAGTCAATCAAGAGTGTAATTTTAATGTATATCAATATTGTGATGAATTAACCACAACCAAACAAGTAACTGAGATGGAGTTGTAGTCAACCAAATAAAGGCCTAATACACATCTATAGCTACCAAGTTTAAATATCAATGCTTATCTGAACCATTATGAAGAGAATTTAAAAGACTGCCAAGCTTACAGGTAGTCATGAAATGTTAATACTAATACTAATAATAATAATAATAATAATAATAACAATAATAATAACAATAATAATGATATTTATACAGCACCTATCCGATGATAGATCTTGGCACTCAACAAAGTGAGAGGAAATTTAAAATTAAAGTTGATTAAAAGTAAATAAACTTAAAATTGAAGTAAAAGCATATAAAGTCTGTTTCCTAATGGCTAAAGTAAAAGTTCTCAAAAAGGTAAGTTTTAAGTTTATGCTGAAGGAGATTTAAGTTCTCGCATGAGCGTATGAACGTTGGGTAATTTGTTCCAGAGTTCTGGGGCTGAAACGGAGAATGCTCTAGAACCATAGGTCTTAACGTTAAAACTAACAGGATTCAGATTGAGCGTAGAGGATGAACGAAGCGATCTAGACGGTGAGTTAAGGTCTGAATAATTCTGGGCATTACTTGGAAAACATCACATTTCAGTTGTAACTTTTAACTACTAGGCTCCTCTAGGCTATGGAATATAGGCTTTGTAAAAAATCATTTGTGAAAACCAAAGCATCACATCATTCCACATTCTGTGTTGTTCAACTACTTGTTTCAATACTGGCAAGTAAAATACATTTAAATAGAACATCATAAGCACTTAACTCCAAAAATGATCCTTAGTGTGTGGTAAGATATCCTTTGTTTTCACGAAATTGTCATGAGTGCCAATCCTTGACCGGTATTTTTCAATCGAGATTCCCATACTTACTTTTTTCGTTCTGAAATATGCCTCCATGAATTCTCAACAGTGCAAGGAGAATGCAACTAATATACAACTTATTTCACTTTATGGCACTTTCAGGAGACTTCAGACATTTTCAAATGCTTTCAGTCACAACTTGGTAGCCCGGATCAATTTCCCTCGAGGTCTACTTCAACCCCAAACACGCAAACCTTCCTCTAAACTTATTGGCAAAGTCTTTCAATATGATAAAGAATGGCGTTTTTTCTTTCGTTGTGATACCATAATGTAACTATCTAAGGAAAAAGTTAATTAAATTTCAAGTGCGAGGCAATCGTGCGAAGCGATGTGTAAAGCATCGCTACATTGGTAGGGAGAAGACTGGGGAAAACATTGACCATTAAGCATAGAGTCTGGGATCTAGCAATGATTACGATCGACACGCAAGACAAAAAAAGACGCCAGAAGATGAAAGAATCATGTATTCCTATTTAAATTCACGACTCATACTCAAGAGTGGGTGTGCAGCTCGAACTAGGAGCCCGAGTATTTAATGTCGTCCGACAAAGTTACACAGAGTAGTAAACAACTAGTCATCACCTCTCGGGCTAAAACGTTTTGTGTGCCGCCGCCTGATATGAAAACCCAAAAAACCCAATGGAAAAAATGAGAACGAATTCCCCATCCAAATGCAGGCGCACCGACCTCTGGGGGTTAGAGGTAAAACAGCTTAATTACATACGAGATAAAATTTAACATGAAACTAAAAAAGTTCGAGAGCTGAGATGATTACATTACAAATGTCAAACCTTTATAAATACGCCATACAACAAAAGACTCGATTAACGCCCTAGCGGCCCACGTGCTAACATACCAATAGGAAAATATTTACTTTCTCAGTTGTCACTGCCACTTATAGTTTAGCTCCGCCGAATGTAAATACATTTCTTTATTGATATTATCATTACAATTTAAACTTTCTTGATTTTTGTAATCAACTGTGAGCTTCAAGTAAACTAATTATATATAATTTCTTTCAATTTTACTAGTAGCCAGCGGGCTATTAAACGTGGTTTTTTGCTAGCCCGACCAAATTTTTACTAGCCTCGGGCTACCGGGCTAGCGGAGATGTCGAACCCTGCATGTCATCGAGTTTTGCCATAGAGAGCCTGTAGTCGTCTTCTAAGAGCTCATAAACATATATGAGAGTACTTATTCTCAAACAAGGACTGTTCAGATTGCGAAATCTCAGCGGATAAGGCACTTTTTGAATGCATTCTTGGCCGCCATTTTGATATCGTGTCACGCAAAAGCTTAGAAATTCAACCTCGTTTTGTGACAAGGCGAAAACCCTATGAAACTAGAAATCTGTTGAAAGATAATTCTTCAGCTGTTCCTATACGTAACTTAACTAGAATCTCAAAAGGATTGATAATTCCTTATTATTTTTTTAATTTTGACGACGGCAGGTGAAACTAAGGATAGTTTTAAAACACGGCACGAATAGGTTTTTTATACACTCTTTTCATTAGCGGCAAAGAAAATTATATGGTTTTTTGGGAATATTTTTCCTTTTAGGGAGTATGGTTTGTAAAAGCGTTCATATCAATCAAAAGGCTGGAGCCTGTTAACAGCTAATTATGTAACAAGTTCAAAACTTGAAGAAAGATATTTACTCGTCTCGTCACGAGCGTGGGACAATGAAAAAATCGTGTACCCCAAAGATTCGGATTCCTCTCCCCACTGGGCTACAGATACTCTACTGTTTCCAAAAACATTTCAAAAAGTGTCATCTCTTCAACTACTTTTCGACTTTTCGTATTTTTCAGCCGGACCTAAGGGAAATTTTTTGAATGCAAATGCTCTTTTGTTTGAAGAGGAGGGCATTGAGAGTTTTGGCAACTTTCTAGATAGGTTATTCGTAAACCTTCTGTAGGCACAGCGGAGAGAAATGCTGACGAAAGCAACATAGTCAGAATTAATCTACCATTGAAAGATCAGGTTTCAGCTAATTCTGTTCGGAGACAACCATGTGTGATCTCAGTAATAAGATTGGCCTCGTTTTGCAGCCAGTTTTTGTAAGTAAGAAATTAGAACAAGACCTAAAACCTAAAGAACCCAAGCCGTAAACTGTTAATCATCGATGCGTTGTTTATCACTTTGTATGTGATCTGTGCGATGCAGATCATGTCGGCTATATGGCCTGACAACTTTTTCAACGTGTCGCTGAACACAAAAATTCGGCAATTGGCAAGCATTTTCATGAAGCGCATGGTAGGAGGGATCGTTTGAATGATAGTCATTTTAAGATTTTGAGAAAGTGTCGGAGCAAATTTGATTATTCAGTGTTTGAAATGCTTTCTATTAAGAAATTCAAACCTAATCTGAACGTGCAAACGGACTCCATACGTGCTAAACTTTTTGTTTAACCCGCAAATTATTTTTTCTTGTTGTTCGTTTTTAGTATTTATAGAACTTATTTTTATACATTCTTGACTTGATAATGACGTTATGTCAACGTCGAAACGTCGTCGATTTTAGCCTTCTATAGCTTTTTATCGTTTTTAAATTTTACAATGTTATCAAGCAACGTTTTGTTGCAAGTTTTTATCATCAATATGATAAAATTTCCAGTTTAGGCTACTGGGGGAAGAAGGAAATATACAACTCTTGATTC